GATAGAGAGATAGAAGAGGAGAGAGGAGAGCGAGAGAGAGAAGAGAGCGAGAGAGAGAGAGAGAGAGAGAGAAGGAGAGAGAGAGAGAGAGAGAGAGAGCGAGAGCGGAGAGAGGAGAGAGAGAGAAGAGAGAGAGTTTGAAAATGAATTTCCGGTGCGCAACCCAGTTAGAGGCGCAGGAAGGACCACAGGGTGCGCGCAACCCCCCTCCCGCCACCTTAGGTCCCAATGGTCCTCTGGGCCCGGGACGCATGATCATTGGTCGGTTAGAGGCCGTATTAAACAGCTCCGGCCCGCACGGCTGCCCCCCCCCCCCCCCCCAAATATCCGTCAGAGGACTTCTTGTGTCAATCGCACCCCCGACCCTTCTAGCATCAGGGGATCCCTGAGTCAATAAAAGCCCTTAGGCTCGTCAGCCGCCACCAATGCCAGACAGTCGGTACCGTGTCGGTCTGAACGCGTGGGGTCGTTTCCTTTTCATCTCCATCACCTTTTTCCAAAGCTGAATGCGCCTCGGAACGAAACCCTGCATTAGCTTCAAGTAATGCGTCCGACAAACAAATGTGGCATGCCTTGTCGGGTGGGATTCGTTACCGGGTGCTCATCGAATAAATTGTCATTTACGCCCCTAAGGACGGAACCGGAAATTAAAAACTATCTTTCTCGAGTGCCATAGCAAAAAATATGGTGCGTCAAATATATGTATTGCCAACATCGCTGATGAGCAGTTTTCCAGGCAAACATGGCAACACTCATGGCTTGTATAATTTCATTAAATCTTGGCAGTATCGCATGGTGCTAAATATGGCAGCAATCAATCAAAAAGTGCCCTTCAAAACGTTGATTCATTTACAATGCAGGCATCTTGTGTCTTGCTAGCGATCAGACAGAGCTGCCACTCCCGGAAGTACTTTACCTGGAAATAAAACATGTTTGTCTTCTTTAAAAAGCATGTTATCATCTACGACGCCTTGTCTTTAAGTCATTTCCTTCCCCTCGAGACCTGTTTGAGCTGCTATTGATACGAAGACGGCTGCAATCACAATATTATAATAGCATTAATTTGCCTCTTACGTGGGCCAGGACCTAGAGGAGTGGGGGTTGGCCATTTGGATTCCCTTCCTCGAGATCTCTGAGTAAAAGTAAAATATGGGAGATAATTCGGCGTAAGCGCTCTCACTGATCCAAGAACTCTTAATGCAGAGCATATAATCTGGTGACAATATATACAAATAAAGACAAAGACAAATATATATGGTACCGCGTTTTTTTATTAATTCTTTACTTGCAAGGATCTACCGGATCTAGGTAAAAACAGACGGGACCAACGAAGTCATCGGTATTGAAAACATGGCTGCAAAAAGCCGCTTTTTGAACACGAGTTAAGAGAAGCCCACTTTAAGGGCGACACGCAAGGGGGGAGAGGAGTGGCGGATGAGTAATCGGGTTTGTATACACTTATACGCGAGGCAGACCGCTTTGTTCGAGAACTCAGAGACTGAGGAGATTCCCTTGTAGGATGGAGGCTTGAATGGATCGATAGGCGGCATTGGCTTATCAGAAAGTACCCTCGTTGCCTTACAACGGAAATGATTGTCTTCGAGGCATCAAAGACACCATCAAGACGTAAGCCACAATACCGGGAGGCTTATACTCAGCCTCATTTGACCACAACTTACCTTCCAGAAGCTCCAAGCTGGCACCGCCACCCGTGCTGACGTGGCTCACTTTGCTTTCGGTCTTGAACTTGGCGCAACAGGTGGCTGTGTCGCCGCCACCAATGATTGTGGTTGCGCCCTTCTTTGTGGCCTCAACAACATTGTCCATCATAGCCTTCGTGCCCTTGGAGAAGTGGTCAAATTCGAAGACGCCGGGGGGCCTGTGATGCACGAGCTGTGTCATGGTACAAATCACGCTGAGCTACCCAATGTGGTGTAAGGGGAGCAAACAATGACTGTTTTACACCGGAACTGAAACACAACGCACGTGGTCCACGTCCACCAAATCGTGTTCTTGTGTTGCTTCGATTAATTTGGCGTCGCTGTAAGGCAACGAACGCCGGCGAGACAATGGACACGTTAAGTAAGCAGTACGCACCCGTTCCACACAATGGTTTTAGCTTTGGTGATGACTGGCTTGAATGCCTCGATGGTCTTCGGCCCAATGTCCAGACCCATCCAGCCATCTGGGATGCCAGCCTGCACCGTCGCCGAGCCCACCTGCGACAAATAAACCGATGCCTCGAGTAAGCCATGGTAAAAAAAACTGACTGCACAGGCGCCACGTCCACATGACATGGCATGACTGCGTCTATCGGCATATGCATCGACAATCCACTGATGGCAACACTGATGTATCACATCAACACACAAAATATCAAATTAACTGAGCCAAATAAGGCTTATCGACAGTGCAGTGATCAGATATCCTATTTTAACAAATTTGAAGTTTTCTTAGAATCGCCAGTACTGACAGGAACAGTCATCAACATATCTATGCTCGGCGAAACCCCTAAATGTGCTTTATCAGATTTCCGCACAGTAAATTGTAACAAAGGAGGAGGCATAAGAGGCAACAGGATGCATACGGGTCAAATCGAAATACCTTGGCTTTCTCGTCGAATTTATCACCGGTGACAAAATCTACGGGAAGATGGATTTGCACCTTGTTCTTCTTAGCCTTCTCCATCAGCTGCTTGACAATTTTGGCGCCATCTGCATCGAAGAGTGAGCTTCCAATCTTTAAAGATACAATGATATTAGAGCCAAAATTATGTTGCGAACATACGTGATCCAAACTTGCACACATCTGCACCAGATAGTCACAAGCTGTCCCGTCAAATCAGGTTCACACTGACAGGCGAAACGATAATGACAAAGACAATTGAAAACCGGCGACAAATATTGTCGACAGTTTTCCCAGAGGAAGTCTATATCCCAGAGAAAGTCTGCGGAAGACAACTCCAATCGTGTGTAATGGGATTAATCGAAACAGGGGCATTGAAAAATTGAGCAACGGCTTTTCACAAGCACACACGGTACATGCGACTTGTGGACAACGTACCTTCATGCCGTTAAGTTCCTTTAAGAAGGTAAATGCCATGCCTCCACCAATGATCATCTCGTTAACCTTATCCAGCATGTTTTCAATCAGCTGAATCTTGTCTTGGACTTTGGCTCCACCAAGAATGGCCAAAAACGGCCTGGAATCGCAGAGCATGCAAGTGACAGTAAATCCTCCGAAAGAAGAGGACAGTTCGCATAAAACATTAGGCAGGGTGAAGCAAACGCTCAACACAAACATAGACCTTGGACCATACACACATGCATGCATAATTACGTAAAAACATGCATAACTACACACACACATGAATACATGCATACATACATACATGCGTAAAACGTGCATGTATGCAAACACATAAACGCCACGCATACAAATATAAATACATGTCTGGGTGTGTACATACATACAAACAAACACCAACCCATCTATAATTACATCATATATACATCTGAACATGCATGCATGTTACCCACATCCACAGGCACACATGCACGCGCACAAAAACGTTAGCCGTTCATTAGCCATGGAGAACTGTATTTAATTCAAATCTTGGAACAGGCTTGTCCCATTTGGTACAGGACGGCGTTGCAGTGCCATTTTTCGCAGTCAGACTACCGTTTACACTAATTGTTAACCCTATCCCCAGACAGCTGAGTTTTACGTTGTGCCCCGCCAAAGGATATAAAAACCGTTTATCCAATGTGCAAGAGCCAAACGCAATTTGACTGATACTATCTTCATTTCTTGACACCAATTTGATGCAGTTTGAAAATTGGTATGTTCCGAGAATGAAGAGCCCTGAAATTCACAACGCTTTCGTTGTGCCATTCCCGTCCATTGTGCACACGTTTAGAATCCATGGTTCTGAAATTTGTGATGTCTTTGTAAAGGCCATTGGGTCCATGTTCAGTTACCGGAATGTTTGAAGGCATCCGGCTCAGCTGGAAAATGTGGAGGTCTTTGATTAATCCAGAGCCGAAAATTGACATGAGCATGATGGGTGGCTTAAGGCAAGTCATAAAGGTGTGATTTCTAGAAAGACTCGTACACTGCTTTTGTTTACTTTGGGCAATCATCAGTCACACTTAGTTTATTTGGGCTAAACGTTATATAATATATATATATATATATATATATATATATATATATATATATATATATATTCAGGGTCAGTGCAACAGTCACGGCGAGTCAGGGCTACATATATGGGGCACACTGAACATCAGCTTTCTGTTTTAACACACAATGTGGCGGAGCGAGATCCCACTTTGCAAAATATTGCTGTGATTCTTGGTCACATTGGATACCTTTTTGCATGAACCTTCGGATTCTCACTTCTACAATGTGAATGCAATGTTCCAAATAATTGTTGCTTAGGTCATTCTGTCATTATGACCAGACCTGGGTCCGCGATTACGGCTGACTCAGATTAGTACGCATGGGAGGATAATCGTGAACTGGGTTACCAAAGCAGTACGTGGCGTTTTAAAAAACGGAAGACAGAAAAAACTAGCTACATGCCTTGAAATCGCCTTCCCATTGGAGATGGAGGTAGCAAAACTTTGCTGAAGTTTACAACAATTTTGTTTAAGCGTAGACAATATAATATATCTTTGTAAGGCTGTATATGCTTCTATCCCACCTTCAATTTATACATGAATGCAACGAAAGCATACAACAAGCTGCTATTTTCATTCGACCGCGCGCAGCGCAGATGGCTCTGCGAAAACGATTGTCCAGGGACACTTGTGTGAAATCGTTTGCCAGTTACGCACATTATGATAACGATCAGCATGTGCCGGTAAAAGGTGCAAACAAATGGGAAGTAATGAAGGAGTGTGTACACCCTTTTGCACTATCTTAATGTTCTTCTGCTAGAAAATCGATGCCCTTTCTCATTAATGATGTATGGCTATCTTAATGACTGTGATCTTTCTCTCACCCAAAATGCAGCAGACGTGTGGTGTACCAGCCTGCACATGAGTTTGGCTCACTCAAACAACCACTCACAACGGCCTAGGCAGGACAGATTGTTTTCATAATTTGGGCACAGCACGTGCTCATTAATTCTATGTAACGTCAGACAGTTTCTTAGTGCTACGGCGCACGAATCAGCAGCAGCAAGCAAAACACCACTAAGAACGGCAGAGTCTGCCCCCCTCCCCCCCCCCCGCCCCGAGGGAATAGGGTCAAGTGACCCGCGACATGAATTAATTTGACAACTGTTTCAGTAAACTTTGCGAATAACTAGATATTGCAGAGAATACCATGAAGCAGAAACTGTACACTCATTCAGCAATATGTGTCCAGCTACCTTGTAGGCGATTCTAACGCTTTGGCGAAGTAGGTGAGCTCTTTCTTCAGGAGGAAGCCGGCGGCTCTTTTGTCGAAGCCTTCGCCCAGCATGGAGCTATGAGCGCGATGGGCCGTTCCGAAGGCGTCGTTCACATAGACGTCCCCCAGTTTACGAAGCGACTGACGAAACTGCTTCGTTTTCGCATCATCCGCTTTGATCTGAGAACAAAGCGACACCGAACTGCTTGAAACTAGCAGCTACCACCAAATCACGATGATGAGTAAACAGAGAATAAGGAACAACATGACAGCGGTCAATATGCTGCAAAGAACATCAAGTCTTTGAATGTACATACCGACACGAAAATTGACGACTCCACAAATCAGAGTACATTGGCATGACAAGAGCACTCAGCACAAATAACTAAGCATCTTCATCACATCTAATCTCGTCACAGACAACCAGGTATGCATATGCATCAACATATGTTCGCAACATATGCATCAATTCCACACCAAAATCTCTTCCGACGTGATTTGACAGCGAGCACCAACATCAAGTCCCGCCCTCTAAAACAAAGCCAAACGATCTTTGCCACAATCATCATTTGAGAAAGATAACCTGATCTGGACAAAAAAGGATATCGCGCGCCACTTCGAAATGTTATTAGCCGGCATTTGAGGAGTTAAATTTTTCAACATTTTTCAACTTCCACACAAACTCAGATTTTCAACGAAGCTATAATAGTAAGGATAGTGTCCTAAAATAATCAGTGCATTCGACGTAAGTCGTCTCAGATTTGGTTTAACGTGAATTTGTATAACGCCGATCAATGAACCATTGGTTTCGCCACATGACGATGTGCATCATGACAGTGTGTTATCGTAATGGTTCAAAGTCGGGTTCAATAATTTAGAAAAGCGACTTGGGCCGCAGTCATGACGATTTTTCGGCTTAGGTGCAAACCAAAACGATGGGTTACGCTCCTGTTTATCCTAGCTTTCGTGCATCTCTAATTTGATGCATAATTAGGTTAATTGTTTAATGAAACGATTGAAGCTATTACACTAAATGATATCACGTTTAATTTAAAAAGGTGCCAACCAGAATCAACACACAAATGAATCGGCCAGTGGCCCATGGACCCAGCTGGCGCCTTGGGTAGTTGTCACGCCCCCCCCCCCCCCCCTCCAGGATGGCTGAGCGTGCCCCTGCTCGTCACCGTTCTGAACCTGAGTGCGCTCCTGGTGACCAGTCGACGGGTCGGGCGCCAGGGAATTTACATTCTGGTACCGAGAGCTACCATGTGAGGAGCGCCGGCGTCTACAGCGTTGACATGGTGGCAGCGTGCGTCTGAACCCGAGTGAAGTGCACTGGGACCTTCTGCAAGACAGTGCCAGTAACAAAGGCGATGCCAGCGTTTACCAAGCGATAGCACTGAACAATTGCCAAATTTCCCCTGCTTGGGCACCTACATGCTGACCTACAAAAGGCGCAGGACGCAAATTATCTGCATAGCTCCTTTCCAGAAGATGTCCTGATGTGAAAAACGTGACTCAGTTGGTATCCGGCACCGAGCTTTAAAGCTTTAATAGACTCCACCAAGCAAAAATACCCAGATAAGGGAACAGGAATCAAACGCATACTTATGCGCAGACAACGGCACGTCTAGAGCTGTCTCATCGTAACAACAATAATGTTACATTATTGCTTGCCAATGCCGCTCGGCACTATAACAGGAATATATAAGGGTGAGAAGTGAGTGATTAATAGGACAGAATTCTAGAACACATTGTTTTTAAATAGTAGCCTGCACGCTCAAGTGTCATGCCTCAACAATTAAGTCAACTGGAGGGCGTGACAGGCACCGGCGAAGGACGACATTACTGCTGGTTGTTGGCGGATGAGCCGTATAATAATACGTTTAGTGTTGGGTGATAATTGATAACTTGGCACACCCCGAAGGAATTCGCAAAAACGCGTGCCAGGTATCGTGCACCAGTGGCGCAGGCCGGGACGACATGGAGGCACGTGCCCCCCCCCCCCCCTTGATATACTGAGGGGCTCGAAGGGCCATCAGGATATCAAGATAATAGGGGGACTGACGATCAAAGCCCCATTTCAGAGTCCGAAGAGCCCGGTGGGCTGGCCAGAGATGGTATAAGGGGGCCCAGGCCGCAGGGCCAGGCCCTCAAATGTCTCTCAGAGGACTCTGCGCCGATCGGGGGCCACCTGAGTCGATGACGACCTCCACGTCTGTCAGGCGGTGCCACGAGTGCTACGACAAAAACTTCTGCCGGCAGGAGTGCTAAGACATCAGTTATACATGACATGACTTCCAATGCAAAAACTGACGCATGCTTTACGTATAGGTGACCTTACTTCTGCTACAAAGGCTCATGCATGCCATAGCGTCTACTGCAAAAGGTTATACAGTATTACTTACGCACGGCATTACTGCTACTGCAAAAAATCGAACACGACATGAGTGCTGCACGACAAAAAAGTACTGCAAAAACTTACACCCGCCATTACTTATGTCAGATACAAGTGTTTGCAACAAAAGTAATGTCGTGCACAAGCAATGGCTCTATAAATATTTGCAGGAGAGGTAATCATTGATATAAGTTTTTGAAGTACACGTTTTGTCGTGTAGGACTAATGCTGCGTATAAGCTTTTGCGGTAGAAGTAAAGTCGTGCATGAGTAATGACTATTTATGTATTTTTGCAGTTGAAGTAATGGTAAGTACAAGTTTCTGCAGCATAAATTTTGTCGCGTGGCGCTTTTGCTGCGTATAAGCGTTTGAGGTAGAAATTATATCGCGCATAAGTGATGACTCTATAAGTGTCTACATCAGAACTAATGACGAGTACACATTTATGCAGTAAAAGTTTTCTTGCGTAGCACTTATGTCGTGAATAAGAATTGGCAGTAGCAACAACGTCGTGACACTCTTGTCGATGGGAGTTCTTTTTGTAGCACTAATGTCGTGGAACTCTGTCAGGCACCACCAGCAGCGAATAAGCGGCCCCGTGTCGGTCTGGGCCTGAGGGACCATTTCCCAAGCAAGGACATTACACACGGGGTCTCCTGAGTCAGTGAGGGACTCCGTTGGTCAGGCACCACCAATACCAAACAGTCGGCCCTGGGTCAGTCTGGACCTGAGGGGCTATTTCCCAAGCAGAGACAACGACGTGGCCCGCAATTTGCATTGGTTGGAGCTCTAAGTCAGTGAGGGCCCCTGCGTCGGTCAGGGGTCAGAGTGCCTAACAAGGAGATCCTGTGCTGGCAAGGTGCCCCAAGCAAACCAGGGGCAGTGCTGGGGGGGAGGGGGGGGGGCGAGGACGAAGAGGGTCTAAAAGGCCCTAGGTACCGACGATTAGCGGGCCGATTTGAGGGGTGAAGGGCTGGTTGGAAGTAATATCAAGGGCCCGGTCCGTAGGCCCAAGCCCTCAAACGCCAACCAGAGGGTGCTTTGCGCCGATTGGGGATCCGCCGAGTCAATGAGTGCCTCTAGATCGATAAGGCACCACCAGCACCAACAGTTGGCTCTGCATTGGTTTGAGTCCTGGAGACCTATCTGCAAGGCCTGTGCCCGGGGCACCTAGATCAATGAGGGATCCTTTGCTGGTCGGGGGCCAACAATTGCTAACAGGGAGTCCCATGTCTGCAAGGAGCCCCGAGTCGGTCAGTGGAACATTTACTGAACAGAGGTACGGACTGGACCCAGAATGTCAGAAAGTCTCTCTCGTTGGTCGGGGTCCTCTGGCAGTGAAAGGATAGGTGAGAACGTACGATTAGAGCTCAGAGTGAGACAACGGAAGGCCATTGAGAAGGCCATGGCCAAAAAGCCATGAGACAAAAGGCCAAAGGCGAAAAGGCCAAAGGCATCTGTGCCATTCACGAGCCCTAGTATGAGACGTTGGCCCCCACCCCATTTCAGCTGGGGGCCCGTCAACTCCAACTGGAGGCTCTTTGCAGTTTGCAAATTAGTTGATTCCCTGCGTCGATAAGGAATCTGGTTGCATCAATGAGGGTCCCTGCGTGGATTCGGGGCCAACGCCCCGGTCAGAGGGCCTCACCTGTCACAAAGGGGATAAATACATGATATGTTTCTCTAAGGGTCTCCGGATGACCTGATTACCCCTCCCGGTGTCGCCAGAATGGTTACCGGTAGATACCCCGCACTGGGACGGAATGGCCCTTCAGCCCCTGACCGGGGGCGATGATGTGCCTACTAGTGCCCTACCCAAGGGGTATTTTATTCGGAAAAGGAATGTTCTCATCGTTCAAAAGTGCGCCGAAATTAGGTCAAAAATGAAAAACCGGACCGATGGACAAGTTCGAGAACATTTGGCTGGGTCCCATGATATAAGTGCTAGAACAAAAACTCCTGCCGACATGCGTGCTATGACATTACCTCTACTGCAAAGACTTCTACATGGCATACGTGCTACGCCTCAAAACATATGCTGCAAAAATGTATGCCTGTTATTACCTCTATTGCAAAAGCTAATACAGCCAAAATCCACCCACGACATTACTTACGTAACGTCGCTTATAGGTGAAGATTGTTATAAGTTTTCGCTGTATAAGAAATGTTGCGTATAAGCAATGTCAGCAATCCTGGCGGTAG